TAAGCAGCGGTGACAATCTATTATATTATTAAAGTGATACAATCAAATTTTATGTAAATGGTTAAGGCCATTTATCAAATAAAAATACATATAGGCATATGTTATATCAAAATGAAGCTTAGAGTGTGTAGATTTGCCGAAAAGTATTGATATGGACGAATTCCCTAAGGGCTCTGCCCCACGGGCTGATTTCCAAAGGGCTACGCCTTGCATGTTTTGGAAGTTAACGTTATTCGATTAATTAAGTGAACAACAGCTGACCAATGCAATTGACAATATAGTTGGTTTGTTTACATGTTTGTTTACTTATTTTATTATTTACTTTTATGTTCTTAAAAAAGGTGCCGTGAATGGTCAGTGAAGCTATTTTTAACTGTTTGATACAAGTGAGTGATTAAAGGTGTTCGAAACACGATGAATATGAGATTAACAAACCATAGGTCGTCATTTCATTGAAAAGTATTAAAGACGTAGACGTTGTGAAAGAGAGCGGTGAGTTCAGGTACAACCGTACCCACCTCGGCCACCTTAGGACGTAAGGTATGAGTTCCACTGCTTTTAACATCCTTTCAAATGACAATTTCTCGAACTTGGGCCCTTTAAATGAAAAGTCAAATTTGTAAATTAATTTAATGGTGGCTTCTGCACACCCGTGAATTCGCGGGTAGAACCTCTTGTAAACAATTATTATTATATTGCAATGATACTGATTGTGTATTTAATATGCATTTATGTTTTAAGAAAGTATGCGGGCAGCTGATTTTGCGGCCCTAGGGATGTCAAAACCTGCTCGGTCCCCAAACGACGATGACAGCTGGCATGGCCAGCAAAACGTAACTTTCAGCTACCAATTAACGTATGTAAAACAGCTAAATACATCATAGTGTGGTGAAAAATGCATTTCTCACGATCACCCGATTATTTAACGAGAGGTGATCTTTTGCGTAACAGCTCCTAAACAATTGTCACAAACTTCACGTTTGCCTATCTATATCTATAAAAGAGGAACTATGTATGTATGTATGTATGTGTGTGTGTGTGCGTGTGTGTGTATACGTTATGGACTCCGAAACCGCTCAACAGATTGTAATGAAACTTTCAGGCATTATTAAGCATCTTTCAAGGATGGTTCGAGTGAAGTTTGGTGCAGATCTGTCAAAAGGGCTCTGCCCCAGAGGGTTTTAAGTGGGCCAATGTCAGACTTTTTGATCTACAATGTTTACAAATAAATATAATTTAAAATCAGATGTTTACTTTCACCAACTGTTTTGTAGGTTTGAATAATCACAACATTCTGTATTAGCAATATTACTTAACAACGTTTAAATTCTCCAATGTTAAATATTAAAAAAAACCTTTATCAAAGTATTATAAACAATAAAAGGGATGACTTTTTTTTTAAATTATGACAACAGCTAATTTGCAACCAAAAGGTGAGTGAGCGTAGCGAACGAACATTAACCTGGAGGCGAGTAAGCGTAGCGAACGAGCTAACCTGAAAACAAGTGAGCGCAGCGAACGATTCCCAACCTGAAGGTGAGTGAGCGTAGCGAACGAACTTCAACCACGACGTGATTGAGCCATGCGAATACTTATGAAGTTAAGCGGGGCAAAGCCCGCGGGTACAGCTAGTTAAATATATAGATATAGTTTACGTATTAGAGAGAGAAATGCCTTTAGGTAAACGGGGTCCATAAAACGAAAACTAAAATAAGGGTCATACGGGACAAATAGATCTAACTGTTGTGGAGTTGAAAAATGATAGAACTGTTGGAAGAAATAAAGTTAATAAAAAAAAAACTGTTAAAATAAATTCTGTGTTCAATCATGTCTGTTTTTTCCGTTTAATCCGTGCCATACTCATGTCACAGAAAAGGTTATACAAAACCAATGTCATCAACACATTGCCTACGACTGTTTCTTAAAGTTAAGATATTAAAATTAAAAAGATGCACTTAACAGGATTTATTGTTTTACTTAACAACAGGAGTAACGGCCATGAGGTTCAAGGATTGGAAGAAAAATTGGAGTGGTGCAATTGTTGGTTGGTAAAATGAGTCGTTGCATCACTCTCAGTAGCAATGAGAGGTTATTTAAACGAAAATATAACCTCTCTTAGAAGTGATGAGTAGTGATTGTTAGTAATTTAAAAACGGTCATAGTTAAAGTAGTGTACGCAACTCGTAAATGTTTTAAAGGCATTCGCCAAGGCTCGTAATTAAAATTACTACTCATGCGGTTAACACTATCTTTTCGCGATCGATGCGTAAACTACTACATACAACGCGGAGTGCGGACTCCTCTTGTCTTAGGTAATTTAATGTTACTGTTTTCCTAGAAGCGCAGCGGAATGCCATGTTAATCACTTTTCCGCTCTCCGCCCTCCGCTCTCCACGCTCCTCTTCCGCGTCTAGGAAAACCTGGCTTAAATACTATAAATATACTCCTCTGAAGACGCAATACGCTATCGGCGTGCCTACAATCACATAAACATGCCTGATTCAGCTCAACGCACAGATAACCAACTTAAATTAGCAATACTCACCAAATTGACGTCTTGCATGGAAATAGATACTGCACAAGGAAATAAAATAACACCAATTCAGTCTTCATGATCATAGGAATTTAATTTTTTTTACTATTTTTGACAAATATTTCTTAGTACAAATGAAGGTCCTTCTAGGAAGTACTTAATCCGGTCGAAAGAAAGAGAATGCTGTCATTATACGATGGAATATCTGTTACTGACTGGGATGGTCGGCTTAGTGTCCACTTTGAGGTTGAAGGTAGGCAGTGATCTTTCGTAGTCAGTAAGCTACCTATGTAGGGTATTATACTGATCGTTAGTTTAGGTTAGGCCAAGACGCATTGACATGTGCTGCAAACTTTATTGGTCCAAGTCAACTGTTTGGACTTTACACAATGTGAAAGTAAAATTATTCGACCAGGCTATAAAAGTAAAGCCTCCGAATTAAAGGAAAACTATATATTGCTCATAAATATTGTTTTAAAAGAACAATAGTCCCTCAGTCTTAAACCACGCTACTCCTGTACAAATCTTTACTATATAACAATTGCCTATTCACAACCCTTCTAAAATAGTTGAGCTTAAAACTACGATTCGTTTATACATATATTCATTTTTCCCATTTCCTCGTATCGAAAACAATCTGATTGGCTATTTTTAATTGGACTAAAATATTAAGGAATTTCTTTAGATTTATTTTAAAAGATTTTACGTATTGCAGAGTGACACAGTTTACATGGCGATTCTATCATAAGTCTGTGCAATTAGTCTAGTAGATAAGTAGAATTTATTTATACATTCGGGAATGTGGAAGCTTCGCGTTAGTTCAATCTTAGACTAATCTCTTCCACCTCGGTAATCACAATAGTGTAACAATAAAAATAACAAAACTACATAATTACTATACAATTAAATCTACAATAAATCAAGTATAAAATAACTCTACAAAATGCTATACAAATCATACACAGTAAACGGAATGAAAATAATCACAGGCTTCTCAGCAAGGTGAAACAACTGTAAAATATGTAACACGATATCATTAATGTTACAAAACTGTAAAAGTTCAAATCAACCAGGAATGTAGGCATATCCCCTTTAATTATTATTGAATTCGGTACTCTCAATGCACCCGATAAACATTTAAGAGCGCAAAATAGTCAAAACACATTTATCACTATTACCCTTACAAAAATTATCTTAAATAATATAAATACCATGGCTGGATCTCGTTTTCAAAGCAAATACATCATTTAGGTTTAAACGCCGGCTAACAAATTAATAATGTACACTTTGCAGTACCGAATTACGATTCATGATAAATTCAAAAAATTTCATTATAAATGCTACAAACTGCTATGTTTACAAACAATGTTTTATCACTTATTTACACAATTCAATCGTTAAACATAAACAGAACACAAATTTCTCTGCACGTTATTTGCAGTCATACGTTTATTTGTTTGACATCACTTCGATTAGCTTTCTAATGCTCAAACTTGTCGATTGCTGGGTACATTATCACACATTTGCAGAGTTGATAGATTGTGGATGTATTAGTGCTACCCACTCCAAATGAGTATTTGTTACTGTGTTTAAGTCATATAAAAATAAGATAAAACAGATTGACCCGTTCCTAGAACAACTCAGCCCTGTCCGCAACTGGTCACAATACTCCGTGCCTAGATTAGTCAAATATAACTAAAACTACATAATTCTCTTTTACTTAAATATTAATTTATGTTTATTAATAAACGGGCTGAACACTGTGGTTTAGTTTATTGGTCCTTTAAGGTTGTAAAAACAGAGATAGAAATATTTGGAAAATAAATACGAACCAATAACGAATTAAGTTTTAGATTTAAAATACGAAAATGGAAATATAATAGGCCATTGTGAAAACTGAACAGCTTACGGACTAGCTGTACGGCAATAACAAAACATGTTACCAACTACATACAGTACAATTAAATATTTGGATACTGCACGTCAATAAATAAGTTTTTCATTAGTGTTCAGACCAAGTGGGTACAATAATGTCTCTTCCACTTGTCCACTGGATCCTGAACACAAATGAAGACTGAAGCGGGTTGTACAAATACATTACGTTGAGATGCATGTCTGATACACTAATCTTACGAGGAGACAACTTTCATTACAAATAATTAGGTTTGTGCTTCAGATTTCGAGAGAAACCAGAGACAAGAATCGTGTCATCAAAAGCTTCCAGGAGAAATAACAAGATTTCTAAACAAGATGTTTCATACAAGGAAATCTTTCAGGAAAAGTAAAAATTTTCAAAGTTGGAGAAACTTCCAGAAATAGTTCTTTATAATCAAAAGTACACTATTTGCGCTTTGAAACAATTGAGGCTTGAAAAAAACTTGCATAGCCAATAACACGATTCGTATTTCAAACTATGAATAGTATCAAAGGCTCGTATCGGTCTTCCACCAAGTTATCAACAGGAAATATATATGGAATTTATGAAACGAAACGTTTTAGAGATCCTTTGGAACTAACACAATTCATGCATCTGGAATGTCTTTGAATGATTTGAAGCACGAAAAGTAAAATGATTCGTGTTTCAGACAACTCTTGGATGCAGGAGTGGGATTCACACATGACACTCCACTGGGCTAGGGAATGCTACAGTGATATCGCCTATTGTACACCGGTGTAACAGAAACAAGCAACTGACTAGTCTACAATATACATAGCATCCTCTCCAGGTAACTGTACAATGTTCCAGACCTGCTGCCTCTAGAAAGATGTGAGTGATACGTTAGTTACTGTAAACAAAACAATTTAGACTCTACGTTTAAGTTTACCAGGAAATTTATTCGATCTAATATTTCAAAATTCGGTCTATGTGTTTACTAAGGACGAAAAAAATCCTGTTAAGTATCTAAGGCTGGAAGATTAGCTGCTCATGAATTTAATTTTCGGTAGATGTTGTTTTTAGTTTGGCACACTTAAGTGATTTGTATTTTGGCCAAGCCAAAGAAATGGAAAAAAAGGTTTAAACCCGAAATTTAAGATATGTTTTAAACAGTCTTGGCCTCTTTATACATATTCAAACTCAATTTTTGAAACAAAAGTTTCCTGAATTTTTTTGTATATTGTTTTGTTTTTTGATGTTTGAACATTTTTTTTAGTCAGTATTTAGGTGTACACTTATAATTTCTACTATAGAATTAACGTTGTAACAATAGTATTGGGGTCCTCGCAGCCAATGTGAAAAATTAGAGGACGGGCTAACACTCACAGTAGCTACTTATCCTAGACATATCGTCGTGTGGAACTACAGTATCACAAGGTATAGCTACTAGACACGAATGATATGAGTAAAGAACGATTGCTAATTTATAAACATCTCGACCCTGAAAGCGCGCTCACGAACATCTTTCTTTTACAAGTTTACACCTCCTACTGATTTATAATAAAATAGAGTATTATTTACACGATCGATTATCGTTACTACATCAGTCGTTATTCGCTATAACGTCTACAATATACAAGTTAAAACCCTTGGTCACTAGGTCGTCGGAGCGCGCACATCGTCCACTCTCGATATAAGAATATAAAAATTTCTTGTATAAGAAGGCAACCACAAATCTTAACAATCAGATCACAGTTCACAGTGTACAGCGATACTGGTAAGAGAACATGACGAAAAATACAAGGGGGAAGTTAACAAACTAAAAAGGTACCGGTAAATTCGATTCAGTTCAAATTGGTTGAAAGTCTCTACGCGGCCGATCGCTTATGGACAACCACACTCGTCCACCACCATCTTGGGAAGGTCCCTCTTAATGATGGTCATGTCGGGACCGAAATATATGAGCGACATGGAGGAGAACTTGAGTGGCGCACAGCAAGGTTGCATGCCGTTCAGCCGGTCCATCTTGCGGTACTCCTCTATGACGTGAGCGTGATGGCTGGCGATCATGTCGGGGGTTCGGACCCCTCCACCACCGCAGTCTCCGCGACAGTAGTTGGCGAAGTATCCACTAGGAGCGATGATCCAATCATCCCAGCCGAGCTCGCGGAAACTCACATAGAACCTCTCCTTGCAGCAGAGTGTGTTGTTACCCTGACAGTCGATGGCTCGCCGCCGCACTCTCCGCGTAGCGATACTCTCCGTGTGGACGACGAGGTAAGGTCTGTCCGACGACGCCCCTTGGAACAACACCGCCTCAACTAGGTTGGTACACCCGGAGCAGTCGACCAGCAGCCTCAGTCTCTGCTGGGAGGCGGCGTCGTACCACTGACGTACTGTGGAGGTCAGCTCGAACCTCTGCCAGCCTAGAGACGACAGAGTGACGGGCAGTGACGCCGACATCTCCGTGTGTTCGTCAAACTCCTGCGAACAAACGGCACACCTTGTATTAGAAACAATTGAAGTATCAAATCATAATTTATACTTCTAATACTCATCCATAGCATATATTACTGTACCTAAGTATCTGTTAGTGTATTATCTATTAGTTGATTATGTATTAGCATGTCATAAACTTTAAGCTTGTTGCTTTTATCTTAACGGAAATGCCAAAACGGAAGACCCATCTTCATTAACCAAAAGCTGGTCATCAAAAAACTGAAGCCGTTTCTAGTTCTGGAATTTCAGCGTGGAGCTGTAGCTCATAAATAAAATTAAAGTGCACAAAGATAAACTGACTCCAAGACCCCACGACGTAGAGAAAAGGATGAATAATGCTATCTTCCACATTCTCTTCTACATTCTAGGCTATTGTACACATCTGAACCAAAGTAAACTTTGCAATCATGACACAACCAGGATGCCTAGGTTTCTGTAATCCTTAAAGACATTTGATTCTTTCATCCTGAACCTGCCGTACCTTGCCGCTAAGGTAGGACGCGTTCCTCAGTCGGCTAGGTGCCACTCGGAAGATCCAGAGCGTCATGTTTAGAGCCCTGGCGTAGCCCTCGGAGTGGACTGGGCGGACTTTGACCCAGAGGGTGGCGGATTTGACCTTGAGCACGGACCCCTCGGCTTCTTGGGTCCGCGGGTGGGGGAACTCTAGCAGAGTCTGACCGTTCAACATGTGGCCTGAAATCAGAAGAACTTTGGTCAGTTGTTGAAACTATGCATTCATGTCCTTATAAAAAACAAAGTTGACGTTACATTTTTTCAACTTGTCCAGTCTTTCTTTAGGTTAGAGACTGCAGAAAAAATTGACCGTCAGAAACGTTTTACTGAGAAGAAAGAAATGATCTTAATTGTAACCTATAATTAAATGTAATTATTATCTTAACACGGTTGAGTATTCACGTCTGTCTTACACTCTCCCCTACGTAAAAGTTGATAAACTTTGAGAGGCTGCTATTTCAAAACTAATCATCCTTTTTCAGTCGGGTTTGAGGCAATGTGTTTCTCTAATAAACACCTTTACTTCCTCCACAGGTCGTCCCTCGAAAGCGAAAAAAATACCGTTTCAATGACCGAAAAGTCAGTAACTACATCGAGGACGTAGTTATAGAGTTTCATTGTTCTGCGTTAACGATTAAGAAAAATATTAACGTGTTACCAGACCTTTGAAAATCCCGGTATATTATATTAATAGTAGTAGTGTTCTAAAAAGTTGGCATATCTTATAGATTTGACTGTTAATACAACCAATGCTTATAGTAATGATGACTTTTATACACTAGTTTAATAGTTATATTTATAAATATATAAATAACACCCTATAGTATATCATACATGAACATAAGACATGATATTGTTAAGCGCAATATGCAACACATTAGTAAACATTTGGAATAGAAGCGATGCATTCAAACCTGAAACAACCAAACATTAAAACATCTTATATACAAATACAGGATTAGTTTTAAAATTGACTCAGGAAATATTATCAAGTAATGTATGAGGTCAATTTAAATAAATTAACTATTAAATATAGAAATAATCTTGGATTCTATAAAACAAAGTCGTAGATTATTTAAATTAATATTTGTTGGCAATTCTGTACAATAAAATCCGCCTGTCAAATAATCTATATAAAATAACTACAAACTAATAAAAACTAAAAAAAGTAGAAGAAAATACTTCTTAGAGCAGAATAAAGATTAATTGTTTATGAAGATAGTGGAAATATGACTATTTTAGTTTATTTGAATACAACATGTGTGCATATACAGCCAGTGAAAAATTTAAACAAACTATTTTAATATGGTAATAACAACGATCAAAAAGTTTTGAATATGCAGTAGACGTAGCTCTGTTGTTAAATAGTATAAGCTAATTTCAGAATCCTACGACCACTAATATAACATGGACAGTTTGATGATCAGTGAGGTAAGGCCCTTGATGATTTAATGATTTGACTTTGATTGATTTACAACGATTTTATGTATGATTTTATTTTGATTTTTATTATCAGAATTTTATCAAAATGTAATCAATTATGTGATGTGGTGTGATGAATGTGTCATAGTGCTTAAAACAAATACGATTTTGTTTTCAAACAGTAATTATAAATACCTATTAATTGTGTTTTTTTTATTGGTATTTTTTTGAAAATCAATCTCGTAAACAATTTTTAAAATTTATGATCAAATAAACTAACCAACTCAAGATGGGGTAGAGCATATAATAGAATTTGCAACACTATTTGAACTCAAGTCAATTTTATTCAAATCCTTAATGATTGGGTTTTTAAGTTCTTTTACAAGCTTGGAACTGGAGATTACATGGTAAGTTATTTTAATATAGGCATACAACAAAGAACAACACATGATGATTTGTTTACATAGAGATACAGATTATTAATACAATTTATCTTAGGCAGCTTATACAGGGTGACTGAAAAGTAACTTACACTCCCCTTTAACTTTTCAAATATTTAGGATGTTTGAAATCTGTTTTCGGCCTTTTTATATTTATGAAGAAGGGCTACAATAATTATGGTCAATTTTGAAAAAATTTTCCATAGGGGTAGTGGGGGTAGGGATTAGCTCAAAATGTTAAAATAACAAGTATAGTTGAGTTTGGTATCATTTTACAGGTCTTGAAGAAAAATAACAATTGACATAAATAAAACCAAAATCGGCCCACTAATAACAAAATGGTGCCCTAAAACTTTCAAATCCAAATAACCATGAGGGTGGCTGACAATTAATTTGCACCCCCTTTAACTTTTTAACTATTTGAGATATTTGACATCGGTTTGCAGCAACTTGTTTGGATATGGAGGGCTACAATAATTATGGTCAGTTTAAAAAATTTTGCGCTTAGGGGTAGCGGGGGTCGGGGGTAGCTCAAAATTTTCAAATAGCAAGTATAGACGAGTTTGGTATCATTTTAAAGGTCTTAACAAAACAAAACAATTAACACAAAGAAAAAATAAATCGGATGATCAATAACAAAATTGCTTTTGATAACCATCGTTTTAATCATTTTTAGCTGACATTTTGTTATTAACGGTCCGATTTATTTTTTCTTTATGTTAATTGTTTTTTTTCGTTAAGACCTTTAAAATGATACCAAAGTCGACTATACTTGCTATTTGAAAATTTTGATCCACCCCCTACTCCCGCTACCTAAGGGCTAAAATTTGAAAATTGACCATAATCACTCAAATAAGTCAAATAAGTTGCTGCAAACCGATTTAAAATATCTCAAATAGTAAAAAAGTTAAAGGGGGTGCAAGTTAATTTTCAGTCATCCTCGTGGTTATTTGGATTAGAACCGTTTTAGGGTGCCATTTTATTATTAGTGGGCCGATTTTGGTTTTCTTTATGTCAATTGATATGTTTTGTCAATATCCGTAAAATGATAGCAAACTTGACTTTACTTGTCATTTGAAAATTTTGAGCTACCCCCACTGCTTAGGGCAAAATTTTCAAAATTGAACGTAATTATTGTAGCCCCTCATATCTAAAAAGGTTGCCGCAAACGGATTTCAAATATCTCAAATGGTTGAAAAGTTAAGGGGGGTGTAAGTTACTTTTCAGTTAAGTAAATTAAACTTAGCTGTATACCAGGGAATACTAAACCAATAGAACTAATAGGAAACCAGCTTCCATAACATTAATCCAACGAAGATATGGAGCCATTAGATTGTGCAGGGCTTTATCTCTTGCGCTGAAACATCTTATATTTAAAATATGATAAGATTAATATCACAACACCACACAAGAAAAATAACACATCCATTGTACTCTGCTAAAGGCTATGACTATCTATACAACTACTAGACTCTCCATTCTCACTTTAAAATTGTACCCAGTACTAGAATAAAAATGAAGATGGTTGAATTCAGCCTCCAAAAAATTAAGCTGCTTTCGAGAAGTGAACATGTTGCCTGATAGGTACCTTATACTATACTGTAACATAATTTAAACTATAAAATATCACAGTATAAAACATTAATATACCTATGCACACTCTGAGCTAGTCAATGTAGCACGACATAAGATATTAACATGAAAACAAATACTGTTTTTAATATAGTATAAATTCACATAAAACCCTGAGGAGTACCTATATTTACACACTCTGGTTTCATCAAATGCTTTAGTAAAAATAATATAAGCGTTTTGTTAGATTATTTTTAAATACAACAACTTGTTTAAATATACATAAACCTGTGATTTATTCTAATTTAACCTACAGCTTCTAGAACTGAATGTGCCCCCCGCCATTTGGAACAATTAGTATGTAATATTAGATAGAACAATTGTATCTTCTTTTTGGTCCCCTTTGGAAAAATATTATTGTAGACGTAGAAATAAAATTAGCAATTAAATGACTTACAAAGGTTATTCCATTCAGTTATAAGTTTAATTTCATTATTATTCTGGGAACAATAAAATTATTTCGTATTTATACTCAAATAATTATTCAAAGTATTGCGACTTCAATACAAGTTTTGACTTAAAAAGTTATACTAAAAATAATAAAAAACGAAACAGTAAACATAAATCGTGTACATCAAAATGAACTTGCCTTCCAGTAAACACCAAAGATGACAATCGTTATATTTAAGGTTAAAAGTATCGATATATGCTAACGTTTTAACCTTGGAAAATGAGGTATTTTAAGTGCTATTTATTTAGAAAACGATGAAAATCTAGGTAAAGAATATTATATCTTAATATTCTTATTTTATTATAAACTGGGTAAAAGAGTGGTTAAATGCTCTTAATTCCAATGCTTAAAGTACAAAAAATGCCGATTTGATAGTGAGATGGATATAAATCATATATACATACATTTTATTCATATATATGATCTTAGACCGAGTTTTATTTTAAATATTAATTAATGTTTCGTATAATTAATTGTTTGATAAAACAATACAAAGTTTAATCACATCAGAGTTTGAACTGCTATCTAAAAAATGTAAAACTATTCCGTCAAACCAAAAGAAAACATCTCAGTACGTCACTAGTAATAATTGACAAGAAGGAGTTTTTAAATGGTTCAAAAACACAACATAAACTTAAGCACCACAATTCAGCAAAATAAAAAAGGAAATCACAGACGTTCTTTACAGGTCAAAATAGTTATTTTTCCTTTTTTTTATGTATGCGACTTCAATGTTGTTGAACCTCATTAAAATATTTTAAAAATAAAAAGTTTTTTAATGTTAATCATACACACCATGCAAGTGTTAAATAAATTATAAATTGCCACCGAATCAATAAATTCAATAAAGCCACCGAGTATATATCTTATAATAGGAAGTAACATACTTCCTTAACAACGTGAAATATTAAAACGAAAGCAGAACTCATTGTTGTTGAACAACTTCATTGTGAGTTTCTATTTTCCATTGAAGGTGGCGGAGCTAACAAGTCAAGTGAACTATTACACGGACACCGCCGTTTGACCCACATTTAGAGTTTTCCGCACCTCCACAGGCTTAATGATTTTGACAGCTATTCTCGTCTCGTTGCACCGACCACCAAATACATTTACTGCGAGTTTGAATTTGCCGGAAATTTGTATAATGTACATTGATTTTCAACGTAAAAATCATATTTTGATTTGGTTAGTTTAACGAAAAAGTTTGATTGCGAAATAGTTATTTGTGCAACTAG